GTGTGTGTGTGTGTGTGTGTGTGTGTGTGTGCTTATGTGTTTCCCATTCAATGGAAGTCAATGGTGACCAAAACTGTTTAGTTACAAACATTCTTTAAAAATATCTTATTTTGTGTAGAAAAGAAAGTCATACAGGGACATGAGGACCAACATGAGGAATGTAAATGATGACAGAAATGTAATTTTTGGGTGAATTATCCCTTTAACTACTTAAAGGAAAATCTTTCCTAGGAGTAATTTATATCATGGTAACAGAATCAGGCCTTTTGATAATCCAGTGAATTAAATATTTTGTAAATGAACGGTTCTTATTTTCTCCTTTTATTTAGAACTTGGTGGATCCAGTATTCAGAACAAATGATGTCTGTCATAAATGCAAAAACAGCTACACTATTTTACATTTGAGTGAAAAACAAGAAACAAAACAGTCAAACTGAGATTATAAAACAGATAGTACTGACTCGAAAATATACATGCACATGATCACACATTATTGAATTCTGTATTAATGTTTTTTTTTTCACATTTGTACACGTTTTCACCATTCTAACTTGTAAATAATACACACTAATAACAGCATACATGTATTTACCATAGTATTTACAGCAAAATATATTAGTGTCATACCGCCCAGCACTATTCAGTCCTAACATGCATATTCTGTAAACCCACTTAAAAGTTGTTTTATATCTCTTAAACTGCACACCTTGTTCTAACCAGGCGTGACATGATAAACTCGTAAGAAAATTGATTTTTCAAGTTTTTGTTCCAATTAACAAGTAGCTCCGCCCACAGTGAAAAATGCCATTAGTTTAAAGCTCCACATACCAAACATAATGTTCTGATCAGCGGTGATTGTGTTTTGTCACACAATAGTTTCTATTTTAGTGGAACTATGTTACTTTTCTCTAGACTTGTTAGGACATGTGATATAAATGAACCTGGCTGATTTCAGTAGAATAACTTGATTGTGTTCATGCTTTTTAATGACATAAAAATTTTCCAGAGAAACATACTGAGTGACTAATGGCCTTCAGAAAGTTTCACAATAGAGAGAGTGAGAAAATAAGCCGATGTGAAGCTGATGTTTCAATACAATATTTGCTATGACACTTGAACATTGACCTTTTCCTGAAATGTGTTGCTGCATGTATTGGACGATTGATATTGTTTTCATTTCACTCAAGGTCTTGTAGCTGTGGGGGGGAAACAAGGATGAGTAATTAAGCCCTCTGTGTTTTCTCAGCATGTGTTTACTGTCTCTGTAAAAGAAGGCAAGTCGTGGCTGAAGTCGACTGTGTTATCAGAGCAGACAGTGTCAACAAAACAACTGACTGTACTATATATATGTGCATATGGAAGAGCAAACACACACACAAAGATGTACAAAGAGCATAAAGAGTAATTGTGTGAGTCCTCACACATGATTACCATGATTATACTTCATACTTCAGTACTTTGTAATAATTATTGTTTTTGAAAGAAGTCTCTTATGCTCACCAGGGCTACATTCATTTGATCAAAATACAGTAAAAACAGTAAAAGTGTGTAATAATATTACAATTTTAAATAATTGTTTTTTATTTTCATATATTTTAAAATGTAATTTATTCCTGTGATGCCAAAGCTGAATTTTCAGCAGTCATTACTCCAGTCTTCTATGTCACATGATCCTTCAGAAATCATTCTAATATTCTGTGACTAAAGAAACATTTATTATTATTATTATCAATGTTGAAAACCATTGTGCTGCTTAATATTTTTGTGGAATCCTTGAGACTTTTTTTTGTGATGAATAGAACGTTTAAACGAACAGCATTTATTTGAAATAGAATTGTTTTGTAACCATGTAAAAGCTTTTACTGTCACCTTTGATCAGTTTAATACCATTTTGAAAGGTAACATACAATGCAGTATAATATTATCAGTATAATATAATGTTTCATCATTTATTTCCATGACATACACTTGTCTTATTCTGCATTGAAAATTACTGTACTATAATTCAATTCAATTGTTATACTGCTTTATTATATTATTTTCTAAATTAATTGTTTTATAATATAGTTTAATATAATATCATTTAAATATGTTATTTGTCTGTTTTGTTTTTCTCCGTCACCCTTAAATTAAACAGTTTTTCTTGCTGCACAGTTTAAGAACAAACCATTTTTGCAGTTTAGTTTCAATATGTGGTCTTTTTGAACTAGAGTGGAAGAAATGTTTACAATGTACTCTTTTATTTCAAAAGTTTAAGGAAAATTTGGCCATTCATGATAAGAGCTTTTAAAATGAACAGGTATTTGTTCATTATGTTCACACATTATTCATCCATTCAGCGGCTCTTTAAAAACACTGAACAAAAACACAGTGCCATTGTTTACCTCACAAAGCAAAATATTCCTGAAATTTCCTGTGTGGGTTGACTCTTTTTTTCCTCATTCGCCGTCCTGCAGACTTCTCCGGTCAGCTCTCATCGTCTCCTCTGAACTCCTCCACGGGTCACCGAGGCATCAGTAACCATCCTCTCCACCCACCCCTGCTCGGCCCGTCCGCCATGAGCTCCAGCCTGGGTCAGCTGCACTCGCCCATCAGCACCCTCAGCTCGCCCATCAACGGCCTGCCCTCGCCGTTCCCCGTCATCAGCTCGCCCATGGGCCATCCTTCCATGAGCGGCCCGTCCTCCACGAGCATGACCTTCAGACCCAGCCTGAGCCCACAGGTAAGACAGCACTGCATTTACTGTGGACTTATTTAACAACTTCAGCATGAATTGCTGTGGGCAGCAGCACAGAGTGCTATTGCAGATTCTTTCAGAGGCTTGCAGCTAATCAATATTTTTTTCAATGTGTGCTCAGGCTGAACTTGAACTGAATTTTCCTGCTGAATTGGCTAAACTTGACCTGAACTCTGTTGGAAATTAAAGATCTATTTTAAAGAGTCTGATTGCTCAAATGGGTTTGATTGCATGAGTACAAGATGCACAAAATCACACAGAGGGACACAAACATTTATTCGAATCATTACCTTCATTATTTAATCAATAAGACCATTTAGTATGGATTTGAAAAATTGCTTTTAATGGGCTTTTGCTGTTACAATGAGACATGATTATCAGCTTGTTCATAGCAAATGTAACTGATTTGGCAACAGTGGCGAAGGCTGTCTGCATAACTCAGAGCTCAAAAAGCTCTGCTAAAATTTCTCAGCTGTGAAAAATGCTAGTAATTATAAAGTTTGGACATTCGAGGTCTTTCGAAATGCATAAATAGTTTCACTGCATTTTCCATATGGCAGGCACATGCACGCGCAGTGTTAACCTCATTAATTTTAGCAATCAGAGTTTAGTGGTGTTTTGAAAAATCACCTCAAATGAGCTTTTCTCGCACGCTGAGGCTTCTGCTTATTAACAGAAAATCGAATCAATTCAGCATCAGTGCTATCGGCTTTATGACTGGGTTTTATTTAATAACACATAGCTTAAAAGACTCTGCTGAAGCAGCGTTTCGTTGGTGGAAAATGCAGCTACTTGTAAAATGTTGTGGTGTTATTGGATTTCTGTTAAATTCCTTTCAATATGAGCTAGGTTTTATGAGACATCATACAAGGAATATTACATTAGAAATATTCCAAGTGATGTAATTCCACTCTTGTATTAGTTTGGTTTATAGGAAACTAGCTTGGCTTAATCTTTTATATTTAAGTATATATGGCTCAAGGTTTTTGTTTGTTTGTTTTTATTATTTATTTTTTAACTTTTCTAGGGTACATAGATTATAAATAAAAAGATAAACACTTAAAGTAGGAACTTGTGCTCAAGTATTTAGAGTATAACGTGTTATTTATTGTGTACACTTCAGTATAAAATGAACAATTATTAGAGTGAATGCAGGTGGAACTCTTTCTGATCTTGTTATTTGTGACAATTAGCAACATCTGTGTTATTTCTTACTAGTTTAGAATTAACTTAATGCTGGATTTGAGTAAGAATATGCACATAAAGATGATTACATTTAAATGTTCACTTTATGAGTTGGTGTATTGATTGGTGTTGTCAAGGGTATATATTGTGAACCCTAAAATAAAATGACATTGAATCATGATAATTTTCATTTTCACGCAGAAGAGTAAATGAGTGACACATATATTATATTCAATATAAGCAACATTAAATAAAACTATGCATTTGCTTAAAACGCCTGACTTTTTAATATTTTACCACCAACCCTGGTGGTTTTATTACAAATCTTCACAAACTCTGAGTAACTAAAGCAGTTTTCGGTTAAATCTCATTTTTAAGCATGAAATATATCATTAAAAGTAAGTGATTGTAGGAAAGAAATTATTTAAGAAAAAAATACAACAGAAAGTCAACGAATCAGATGTTTTGTTATCAGACAAATTGGTTACAATACTAATTAATATTGAAGTTAAAAGAATTAGAAAGTTAATTCTGAATGTTTTGGCATGTATGTATTTTTTTTTTCTTTTAGCATAAATATTTCGTTAAAATTTTTATATAGAATATGTCACATCATATGATATTCATATGATATCACAACATATTTTTTGTTGATTATCTTTTAGGTTAAATTCAATTAAATTTATGCATTTAGCAGACGCTTTTATCCAAAGCGACTTACAGTGCGTTCAGGCTACATATTTTTTATCAGTATGTGTGTTCCCTGGGAATTGAACCCATGGCCTTTGCGCTGCTAACGCAATGCTCTACCACTGAGCCATAAGGCTCAGACAGGTTAAAGACTAGAAATTAAATTAAATACTTTTCATAATAGCCAGTTGTCATTTAATGACAATATTGTGGCAGTGTAAAGTGAGGAACATCATGGCATGTTTTAAAGCAACGATAATATAATTGATTGAACAAATGCACTGGAGTCTTGGAAACACTTTGTATGAGTGTGTTTGAATTACAAATGTAATCATTAACGTATAACTTTAAATCTGTATAGATAAGCAAGATGGATTTGAGTCAGACTTTGGCACAGTGAAATCGCTGAGAGCCTGCCAGAGTCATTTGAGAATCAGTAAAAACCATTTAGTGTAACTCAAGTCATATCAAATAACAGCCTTTTGTAAATTAATTTGAAGACCGTTGGGTTTTATCAGACACCAGATGGTAAATGAGAACTAAAATCCCTGCAATACAGTTTAAGATAAACCACACGCTATATTCATTATGAACACGTTATTGTGAAGGGTTTTTGTCTGAACATTTTTTTTCCTCATATCACCTCCCTCCCACTACCAGTATAAAGTGTTCAGTCATTACTGTTGTACCCCGAAATGGAAACAAGTTCCCATTAAAAACAAGTTTGGGTTGGCATAAACACAGTGGACTTTTTTTTCTTTCCCCCACCTAGGTCTCATGTCAGACAGCTTTAATTTGGCTACTAAATGGAGAGGGGGGAATTTCACATTAATGGTGTTGCCTTAAGTAGCTAATGGCGTATGGGCTTAAGGAGAGGCGTCTTGGAGGTGCCCTGGCCCCCATTCATCCTCATTAGCCCCGTCAGAGTGCTTGATCTCTGACCGCATGGTGTCAAACACGGCCTTAGTGTGCCACATGGGCTTTCTGCTTTTTATTGACATGCTAAATGGGTTCAGAAGAGGCCCGGTTGGGGCCTGGTCAGGGCCCAATCGCACGGGAAATGAGCTGGCTTGTTAAAATCTGCAGCTTAGCCATGTGGTGTGTGTCAGAATGAAACTCTTTTAACACGCAGCCAGTTCTTTCTCCTCATACACACAGACAGACACACAAATTACCAGTTAGCCTCTACTTTTGTCCATGTACACTACTGTTCAAAAGTTTGGGATCAGTACAATTTTTTTTTTAAATGTAGATCCTCATTTTCACCAGTGGCAATGCTGAATTTATTTGATACAATTTTTTTAAGCATCAACTTTCTATTTTAATATTTTAAAACAAATGTTTGTGGTCAGTAAGATTTATTAAATGTCTCATATGTTCACCAAGGCTGCATTTATTTGATCAAATATATTAGTTAAACAGTAATATTGTGAAATATTATTACAGTTTAAAATAACTATAAAGTAATATATATTTCAAAATGTAATTTATTTCTGTGATGGCAAAGCTGAGTTTTCAGCATCATTAGCCTACTCCAGTCTTCAGTGTCACATGATCCTTCAGAAATCATTCTAATATGCTCAAGCAACATTTCTTATTATTATCAGTAGGGCTGTGCAATTAATCGAAAAACATTTCGATTTCGACCTCCAACGATTATGAAAATACAATACATAAAATGTTTTGGTCATATGGCCCCCTCATAATCGTGTTAAATAATCGTGATTACAATATTGACCAAAATAATCATGATTATGATTTTTGCCATAATCGAGCAGCCCTAATTATCAGTGTTGAAAACAATTGTGCTGCTTATTATTTTGGTTTAAACTGATACAGGATTTTGTCAGGATTAAAAAGAGTAGGAAGTTCAAAAGAACTGCATTTATTTTAAATATAATTATTTTGTAACATGACACATTTCTTTACTTACATTTTGGGTCAATTCAGTGCATCCTTGCTGAATAAAAGTATGAATTTCATACTTAAGGTTCAAGGTTTCAACAAAAAAAGGCTCACATTTTCACACACATTTTCTTAGAGAAATGTAAAATCTTTTGCTTAAAATCCTATCTAAAATATAAATATGATAAACAAAGTTGTATTACAGTTTTTTTATGTCACCTCCGAGGCATTTGTGTTAAGTCCCCCATAATTACTTAAGAAATATTAATTCATCAGGGAAAGGTTTGTAGCATAATTCAGAGCACAGATGATATTTTAGGGATGTTTATGTCAGAGACTGATGTGCAGAGCATCTCATGACTGTGCAATGCAGCAACACCAATTCATGGACACATTTAACTATTCTAAAAGCTCTACACTCAAAGCAGCAGGCATGAGATGATCTGCCTTGTAACAGCTCCTGTGGGCTCTACAGTGCAAGATACAATAATAAAACTTATTTTCTCCCTGTTCGTTATGTCCTTCCCCACTCTCTGGACATGCTTATTTTCATTTGGACGTCATAGATGGTTCTCATGGTTATGAAAATGTCAGTCATTCACTCTTTCCACGGGACTATAAGAGAGTGTATTTTCCCAGCCTGATTTGGCATGTGTTGTATGGAAAATCTTGCTACTTCCTAATTCTTTTTACCAAAAGCATCATGCCCACATTTTTCACATAATACAAAAGGGAGTTATTATAAAAATGTCAAAGCTGCTATTTTTCATACAATCTTTTCTGTGAAGTTCAGTTCACTGAGAAAAAAAAAAATCTTACTAAATCATTTACAAGCTAAAAAATTTTTTTGTTTTGTTTACTTCTTGTTTTGTTTTTGTAGTTTTTGTCTCATGTTTTTCGTTCTGCTTTGTTTAATGGTTATATCTTGTTTTGCCGCAGCCACCATGTGAGGAATTCCCCTGGTTTCACCTCAATTTAAACATAATAATTGTGTGGCACCTCCAATTCCTACATTTACACATTTGACAGATGCTTTTATCCAAACTTATGATCCAATCTGTAGATTCATGCAGTTCTTGGCAATCAACCCCATAACCTTGGTGTTGTTAGAACCGTGCTCTACTTTTTATTTGTGTCAATTTTTCATGTTTTATCTGGCTGGTAGCTTTTTTTGTGTGTGTGTATTTTTAGGGATGGTTCATGATTACTGATCCTGGAGTGCATGAATGTAGGGATCTGAGACTCTGTTTCAGGGCTTAAAGTTAAGACTGTTAATCTGCTCCCTGTCTCTGGTCTAAAACTAGAGGCTACCATGCGGCACTGGCACACAGAGAATCCAGGAACATATTGAATTACAGTTTACCCAAAATAGTGGGGGGATGTGTGTGTGTACGCTCAGGATTTGACAAGAGCCCCCTTAAGATAGATTATGCCACCGAACAGGACATGTCAAAAGAGCCATGTCTGCATGCAAAACGAAACAGATGGCAGCAGGTAGATCTGTTTGTGTGCATGTGTGTGTGCAGGTGCATGTGACTGTAAATGAACGTGCAGGTGTGTGCATTTTGGTATGTATCTGGGTTCCTGACACTCCTTTACTATCACAATTGCATCGTTGGTTCTTTTGTTTTCAGTATGTATTTACATGGTAGAGTTTGTCATGTACATTGGGCTGTATTTGCATTTAGATTTGTTGTTTTTAACAGTTTAGCTTAATTCTTGACTCGTGAGTTAAGCTGTTAAGATCTCATGAAACTAATTTAGGTCACATTTATATGTTATCCCTACCTGTAGGAGTAAGAATGCTAATGCATCACATTGTGCAATTCTAAATGAATGTCAGTAGTCTCTTTAAGAGTCTGTGGGCCTCATTTATTGACGGTAAGTACTTTTCCACGTCAAAGACCGTTTTTATAAATATAAACGTTGCCGTGGATTTTAGTGTACGCACACTCTAAGATCAAATCTGTGCGTACGCACATTTTATAAATGAGGTCCTGTATGCGGGAGTTTGATGTCATACAGTATCGTACACCAGCAGTACTGACCACAGGTGTGGGCATGTGTCATAAACCAGAAATATTTGTCATGAGTCAGATTTTCTTTGATAGTGCAAACAAAATAACACTGACACAATTTAAGGTGTGGAAATGCCAGGACAGGGTTTTTGTTCAAATGAACACAATAGTCATTAATTCTTCCTGAACCAAAACGTCCTGCTGTCTGTCTCCAAATGTTTTGACATTTCAACGACATTGAAGACTTGACTCATATGTCATGCATTTTGCCTTTCTTTTCTTTCTTTTTTTTGACAAAATCTGTAATTATTGTTTATATATTTAGTTAGAAATAGTTTAGGGTAAATCATTTGCACTTTTGTTGGTGAATCATTTTTATGTTCATTTATCTACCTCTCAAGAATTACCAAAGAACAACATAGCGAACATTCTTTTATCATAATGTTTCCTGTAGGTGTGTCTGTCGTGTCTTTCACAGGTCCGTTCATCTGTCATCACACTTTTTGTGCCTTCAGTTCTGGGTAATTAAGAATAAATGCCATGTATAACTGATTCTGTTTCAACAGACATGTTAATGTGGAATTATACACTACCGTTCAAGTTTGGGGTCGGAAGGTTTTTTTTCCCCCCTTGTATTTCAAATAAATACTGGTCTTTTGTGGTTTATATTCATCAAAACATCCTGAAAAAATGATCACAGCAAAAATACTAAGGACCTGTTTTCAAAATTTATAATAATAAGAAATGTTTCTTGAACAGCAAATCAGCATTTCTTCAGTGACACTGAAGACTTGAGTAATGGCTGCTGAAAATTCAGCTTTGCCAGCACAGGAATAAATTACATTTTTAAAACATATTAAAATAGAAAACAGTTATTTTAAATCGCAACAAAAATATTTCACAGTATTACTATATTTTTGATCAAATTAATGCAGCCTTGATGAGTATTAGAGATGTCTTCTCGAAAACATTAAAAAATCAAACCGACCCCAAAACTTTTGAATGGTAGCTTATGCAAAAAATCATGAATTTTTCTCTTTATGTCATATATAAATTATGAGAGTTACACAAGTACAGTGTGTTTGCTTATAGGCAGTAATGATCTAAGGGAACATGAGATTTACTCCCATCTCTAACAGTCCATTAATTCAGTTATTAGCAACTTCGTAATGGTTTGATATCTGTGTTGTTGTTTTTTTGTTGTTGTTGTTTTTTTAGCTCAGTTCACCCATGAATGCAGTCAGTAGTTCAGAGGACATTAAACCCCCTCTGGGTCTGAACGGGGTGATGAAGGTCCCAGCACAGCCCACAGGCACATCCCTCTTCCTCACTAAACACATCTGTGCCATTTGCGGAGACCGTTCATCAGGTGAAATACACCACACACACATACACACACACACACACACACACACACATTTGAACACACATACCTAGATGATTTAAAAAAAATTGATAATACATTACGTAATTTGTGTCCGTTACTACAGAATAAAATAGCTAAATTATCACATTAACCTATAAGCAGCACATTTATATTAAATGTATATAAATAAAAAATAAGAAATATTTATGATATTTCCAATCTACTTACAAATGAATAACAAATGCACACAAAATATTAATTTGATTGAAAATAGTATTTATTATTTTGAGAAGAAAGACCCATGCACTGACTGATATACGAGACTATAGTCTGGTTAGTTATAGCATGGTTAGTTGCCAGGAACAACATATACAGTTTAACAGACATTATACAACACTGTATAACCACGGAATGCTCAAACTGACCAATCAGAATCAAGTATTCCAGAGAGCTGTTTAATAATATACTTTATTGTACTTGGTAAACTGCAGTCATGAAATTGGTCTATATATTCTGTCTTTCAGAGTAGTGTGTGACAAAAACAGATGTGGTGCTGTTGAATTATTTATATTAAATGCCAATTAAAGATAACCCTGCTGGGAGGAATACTAAAGCATGTGTTTGCTGGCAGGTAAACACTATGGGGTGTACAGCTGTGAGGGCTGTAAAGGCTTCTTCAAGAGAACGGTGAGAAAGGATTTGACGTACACTTGCCGAGACAACAAGGACTGTATAATTGACAAACGCCAACGCAACCGCTGCCAGTACTGCCGTTATCAGAAGTGCTTAGCCATGGGAATGAAGAGAGAAGGTGCGTTGCTTCTTTCTTTGAGTGATTGAGCACATTTACATGCACATGACACTTCCAAATAATATCAGAATTTGGTCTTATTCTGATTATGGATTGGTCATAAACTGACCTTAACCTGACCGGAATAACCAAATAGAGCAAATATTCCAGTTTCTTGAAATCATCTTATTCTGAATATCTAATGTTCATTTTTATCTGCTTATGTCCAAATGAAAGTAATCGTGAATGCTATGAGACACAGGCAGTTTTGAAAAGTAACACATTTTTGGAGGCAACAGATTCTTTTGAAAGACTTTAAAAGAAATAAACATTAATCAATTCACAGTACAGATGGCTGAAAGCGCTAATGACCTACCATTTGCAGTTCATTGCACTCCTGTGTGCTGTTGTCAAGAAAATGAAAGAGACTGATTAATGTGTTGATTAAATTACACATTTTAAGTCTAGAATCATCTAAAAGTAATTTCATTAAATTCCATTTCACTATTTCCACCAGAGAATACTGGGAAAGTAATGTCCATGTCTTCATTGATTCAGAATATATTCAGAATATTACATATGAGAATATTCCAGTAGCTGGGAAGCATGTAAACTATTTATTTATTTATTTGTAATTAATAGAATTTAGAATCTATGTATTTATTCATTATGCAAATGTCACTAAATGTTACTAAATATGATGAAATGATGACATTTACATTTAATTATTTAGCTGACACTTTTATCCAAAGCTACATAAAAATGTGGAATTAGGGTGACCATACGTGCTCTTTTTCCCGGACACGTACTGGCCAGGATTTCTATATTGCGTAAAATATCCAGGTTTTGGCATTGTTTTCCTGTTTTCATACTTGCTGAAGGTAATGGTTAAAAATTAGTTTGACCAATAGCATGCAGGCATTGTACTTAATCGACTAATCATGGCACGTAAGAAGGTAGGATCTACAGAGAGCAGTCAAAGCGATGCAAATACGCGTACATATTAGGTGCATGCTGCGCAGACCGATCGTTGTATGACATCAAAGTACCGCGAGAGAGATTTGAAAGCATAAGTTGCTGCTGCTCTCTATAGCTCTCACAGTACTTTGATGTCATTCACCGATCGGTCTGCGCAGCGCAAACAAAGCCAAAACCTGGATATTTAAGGCAAAAAGGAGCATGTATGGTCACCCTATGAGGAACACAACACAACAAGAAATTTTGTCAATAATGCATGTGTGAAAATAGTAATAACTGTCCCTTCAAACACTTTTAGTATGTTCTTCTGACCTAGTTAAAACCCAGTAGCCAGAAAATATTGAAGCTTTATTCTTTCGTTTAACCACAAAGTGGGCATGCACATTTCAGAAATATGGCTAATATTCATTCTAGTAATATTGTTTCTGTCCAGGGCGCTGCAAGAAAACACATTGTATAAAAGTCTAATAAAAGAAATCAGAGTAAACAACCAGCAGCTGTTTACCAATACAATGTGTACACCAGTAAAACAAGTTTAGCATGTGTTTGCAAATTGTTTGCATTTATTCATTGTTTTATACAGTATCTGACATAAGTTGCATTATTGTGACATTTTTCATGGAGACACATCATCCTATCAATTTAGTTTATAATCTGTTCTCAAAAGAGTAGAAAAAGTCATGAAGAATAAACCTGATACAATTATGTTAGGTCTATTTTTCAAGCTATTAAAGTGGTCTAGAGCACAAGGCTGGACCCCCTATATTGAGACCTCTGAGAGAGAGGTAACCTGACACACTTCTCCCCCACGAGTCACTCTCTCTGTCTTTCTGTTTCTGAGGATAATAAAGCTAAAATAATTTCCTTGTGCCTCTCTCCTCACCTCTCAGTGACTCCTGGAGTAAAGCTTTATCCTTCAGCTGACCTCCACGGCTCCCACTCAAGAATTCCCCTCATGATCTGCTAGTGGTTTCTGTCGAACAGAAAGAGAGTCATAAAACAGGGCTTTTACAGACAGAAGGGAAAGCTGAAATGTTCCACAGCCTGACGGCGAGGCAGACGGGGCTCATTTCCACCAGGTCCAGACCACAGTAGACCGACTGTGTGGTTTAGACCTGGCTCCTCCTCTGAACCAGGCCAAACATGCATACAGTCTATGCTCTGTACACAACTTGCGCAAATTCATGTACACACACACACACACCAATACATTGTCAACCTGCATAACCAATCATTTGACCGTGGGACGGTTTTATGGCCCATGACTTTGTCCGTAGACTGGATAGAAGCACAGAATCGTGTTTGCACTGGATCGTACCCAAATAAAATACACATATTTTAAAGAGCCGAATGCATATTACTACTAACGTCGCTACAAAACGTAGGCTGACCTCCTCAACTTTCAGCCCTCTGAAGTTGGTGAATAATGGTCTGGATGCATATGCAGCTCGATGAAAAACAGCCTCAGCTGTTTTTGTGGAATCGTGTAGATTAAGAGCAAACCAAAAGCAGCTGCGTGTTATTGAGCACAAGGTCACGGTTTTGTTTGTGTATGTAACTGTACATGTCGCACATGCGAGCCGTTCTAATTTTGTTCCTGCACGTGTGCAGCCGTTCAGGAGGAGCGGCAGCGGGCGAAGGAGCAGAGTGAGGGTGAGTTCGGCAGCTGTGCCAACGAGGACATGCCCGTGGAGAAGATTCTGGAAGCCGAACTGGCAGTGGAACCAAAGACGGAGACCTACGTGGAGGCCAACCTGAGTGCGCCTGCCAATTCTGTAAGCCAATCTCTCCCTCTAAATCACACTCAGTGACATTCAACTTATGGAGAACATTTGGCTCATCTGAAATGTGCCGTTTCAAAGTTACACTTCACAATTGCTCCTTAGTGAACGGGCCGGGCTTGATCATTTTCTGAATGTCAAGACTAAAGAAAGGTTCCAACCTGCCTGCAGATATACAAAAAGACAGTTTTAAGAGTTTCGCAGCTGTCCAAGAAAGAGTCTGATGCAGATTCGAATATTTCTGTTTGTGAATAAGAAGGGCTATTTTTACGAGCCCACTCCCAGCGGATGGATTCGGCTACATAGCGATGCACTTTGGCATTGAAGGCCTTCATACAGACCCCTCGAGAGGAGACATACTGCAGAAGAAGCACATTGTCATGTCACTAGATAAGAGCTTTAGCCATTAACCATGTCAGTTAGATACACGGAGGCTAGTGCTGTGTGTATATTTATGCCTTGTGCACATTTGTCCTCTGTTTTGTGCAGCTGTAAGCTCTAAATCAGGTAGAGGTCAGGGAGAAAGAGGCATATGCTTTGTCTTCCCTACTCTGTATTTTCAGATTGTTTGTTTCCCCCACAGTTGTTTTTTAATGGCTGTTTGTGTGCTTGTCCTTGAGCCCTGGGGAAGGTCCTCTCACATGAATAGGGCTCTAATGAATTTGAGTTCCTCTTGGGTTGATTGGAAAACTGTTAAGACATGATGATCTGAACTGAAAGCTGTGTAGATTATGAGACTTTTAAGCCAGATTGTTATGATATTTCAGTAGATACACTTGATTAAAAAAAAGTGTGCTTAAAGGGATAGTTCACTCAAAAATACAAAATCTGTCATCATTTACTCACTCTCATGTAATTCCAAACCTGTATGACTTTCTTCCTTCTGCTGAACACAAATAACGATATTTTGAAGAATGTTAGGTTAGTATATTTTAGATGTACTTATTAATTATTAATTTCAAAGACAACAAGGGTAACACTTTAGAATACTGTTCTGTGGTTAATGAATAACTACACAGGAACAAATAACTAATGCACTAATAACATTCTAGTAACTACTATTAACTAACAAGAAACTCTGATTAATAATTTAGTAAGTAATAGTGCTCAGTTGAAATTGGTAGTTCACTATTAGCTAATCAGTAACTACTATTTTTTTTTTCATATATCCCGGAGAACTACTAAGAGCTACTATACAGGTTCATAATTAATGTGAATTATGCATAATGTATAATTCATTCTAAAGTGAAGATCATGGTAACCCACTAGTAATGACTCAAGTATAACCAAATCCTTCTAAAGGAACTACTAATTATTTGGATCAGTATTCTAAAGTGAAAAGCATGATAACTCCCTAATATTGACTGACGTCATTGTAAGCTTTTGAGTAAGGTCTTTGATAGTAATGACTCAAGTGTTACTACATCTAAAGGAACTACAAATTATTTGGATCAGTATTCTAAAGTGAAAAGCATGATAACTCCCTAATATTGACTGACGTCATTGTAAGCTTTTGAGTAAGGTCTTTGATAGTAATGACTCAAGTGTTACTACATCCTTCTAAAGGAATTACTAATGATTTGGATCAGTATTCCAAAGTGAAGATCTCGGTAAACCACTAGTAATGACTCAAGTGTTACCAAATCTAGCAAAAGGAATTACCGTACTATCCAGAATCTTACAAAAACCTCAAAAGCTTACAATGATTTCAGTATTATGTATTAGAGTTATCATGTTATTCACTTTAGAATACTGATCCAAATAATAAGTAATTCCTTCTGAAGGATTTGGTAATACTTGAGTCACTAGTGGGTTACCATAACCTTCACTTTAGAATTAATTATACATTATGCATTATTCTATTCATTTTAATTATGAACCAGTTTACAGTAGTTCTTAGTGGTTCTTGGGGAGGTATGGAAAAAAATAGCAGTTCCTGATTAACTAATAGTGAAATACCACATTAGGTTAAGCACTATTACTTACTATTTCACTATTACTTACTTTTTAGTTACTAGTAGTTACTAGAGTGCTAATATTGTGTTACATATGTGTTCTTGTGTAGTTATTCATTAATGATGGAACAGTATTCTAAAGTGTTACCACAATAAGTAATTTTGAAATTACATGTAGATGTAACTCCTTCCTAAGTGGGTCAAAAAAGCACTCAAAATTTCAGCGATTGCATTTAATATAAATTTGAACTATAATACATTTTCATTTAATTGCAATTAACAAGCACTTAAGTGTCCAAAAGCATTACATGCGTTTCACACTTAATTATATTGTTTTGAAGTATATTATTTCTGTTATACATGCTCTTTGTAAAAGAGTGATAAAGTCTACTTTTGCACAAGGGTATGTTACCACTAAAACGAAAGAGCCTTTCGCTCTGGGTGGATGACGATGTTTCAGTGATGATGTGATTTCGGGATCCTACTGGGACAGAATTTGCTCCATGACAACAGCAGAACACGCACAGAGTGTTCTGACATGCCAGGCTGCTGGTTCATGAGTGCTTGTTCTGATTGAGTCTGGGCTGAAGAGTTTGGATTACTTGAGCAGAAGGAAAGGCTTTTAGAGAGCAGGAGTTAAACTGAAAATAAAAATATTCCACTGGGGGCAAATGACAGGAATGATTTCCACAAGACTTCCCACAAGATATCTGTTCATTTTCCACTCACATCATTGAATTTGACAGCTGAGTTTCTCTTGGTGATATCTATGCTGAATGCAAATAACATAAAGTAACATGTCACACAGTGAAATCAATAATACAACTCAAAACCAGAGTTTGCAAATACATTTTGTCCTTATTCCAGCACTGTCTGTTATTGTGCTCTCATTAAACGTTTTATATGTCCAAAAGCATATATTTATGTAGAAATACACTATTTTCAAAAGTCTGTGGTTAAGATTTTTTAAAGGTTTTTTAAAGAAGTCTCTTATGCTAATCAAGGCTGCATTTATTTGATTCAAAAACAGTAAAAAAAAAAAATTAATATTGTGAAATATTGTTACAATTCAAAATAACTTTTTATATGAATTTTGTTCCTGTGATGTCAAAGTTGTGTCAAAGTCAATTTAATGCATCCTTGCAGAATTAAAGTATTAATTAAATAAAAAAAGAAGAAAGAAACACCTTTCTGATCCCAAACTTTTGAACAGTAGTATATAAATGCCAATATAGTATGTTAACCCATACAATATATTGCCCATCCACACAAGTTGTTACATTTTACTGAAAATTACATTTACATTACATTTAGACATTTAGCAGACACTTTCACCAAAGTGACTTACAAATGAGGACAATGGAAGTAATCAACAAAAGAGCAATGATATGCAAGTGCTATAACAAGTCTCAGTTAGCTTAATGCAGTACACATCGCATTTTTTAAAATCATATAATAAATAAAAAGAAAACAGATAGAATAAAAAAGAATAGAGCAAGCTAGTGTTAGAGGCCTTTTGTCTCTTTATTTGCTTTTGTTAATTGTATAATAAATAAAAAGAAAACAAATAGATAGAATACAAAATTATTAGAGAAGCAAGTGTTAGTTTTATTTTTTTAAAGAAAACAAGCAGCTAGTAAATAAATAGAGTGCAAGTCTAAAAGGGGCAAGTTTTTATTTTTTTTATATAAAGAATAGAATTAGAATAGACAGTGCTAGAGTTAGAGGGTCAAATAAAGATGGAAGAGATGTGTTTTAGCCGATTCTTGAAGATGGCTAAGGACTTAGCTGCTCGGATTGAATTGGGCAGGTCATCACACCAGGAGGGAACATTTAATTTAAAAGTCCATGAAAGTGATTTTTTGCCTCTTTGGGATGGCACAATAAAGTGACATTCACTTGCAGAATGCAAGCTTCTATAAGCCATGTTTCTGAATGACAGAACCTAGTGATGCCATGTAGACAGAGAAGAGAAGTAGTCCAAGAACTGAGCCCTGAGGCACCCCAGTAGTTAGATGTTGTGACTTGGACACCTCACCTCTCCAAGATATCTTGAAGGACCTATTTGAGAGATAAGACTCAAACCATTACAAATTATTAAATGACAAAGAATTACTTTTAATTTATTTAGAATATTGTGTAAAGTAAAACATTAAGTATCACCTTTGTCTAAGAATTTTCTCCTAAAATTTCAAAGGAGAAATTAAAATAGAAATGAAGATGCATGTATAGAGCTATGAATTAAATTAATATGGATAGCATCATTTAGTCTAATTTGTTGAGAAATGTTTTGAAAATGAGTTTTTCCTGCATATGCTGGTATCTTGGCCCTTTGCCGAGATCCTTACTGAAGCTACGAGATTACTAGGGTTTTTTTCCAAGGAGAAAATCTGAGATTGAGGAGACAAAAGCAAAAGTTTGCTCCTCATTGTTGTCTAGGAGAAACAACTGACAAAAGAGAACTGACAAAAGAGAACTCATTTGTGTTTTTTTTCTTTCTGTGTGTATCCAAGTAAGCTATACTGCCATAGAGTTCACCTTTCTCTCTCTCTCTCTCTCTTTCTCTCTCTCTTTCCAGCCTAATGACCCTGTAACAAACATCTGCCAAGCAGCTGACAAGCAGCTCTTTACCTTAGTGGAGTGGGCCAAGTGGATACCTCACTTTTCTGATCTCCCACTGGACGATCAAGTCATCCTCCTGCGAGCAGGTGCGTCAGTAAATAAACACAAACCGCTTTTGTTTGAGTCCTGCAGACATTGACCTGACGTGACCTGTGTGCTGTACATTTAGTCTTCCAGCTATGGAGTTACATCTGAAAACAGCATCAGCTAATGAATTGAGTATGTTTACAGTTATGTGACATTACAGTCTATTCCAGAAGCATTTATATGGATTCAGAGATACATTTGATCCAGCCTCGGGCCACAGCATCGATTAAAGAAGGAATTCCATCTCATCTTGGAGTGAGAGTCCTTATTCTGTTAAGGATGATGGCTTCAGTATAGACGGAGGGAGAATAAGAGGCTGGACTGTTCTCGCCGCTCACATGTTGCATTTATTTCATTGGGCTGTAGGTTGCCTGAGGACAATCAAACTCTATTTAGTGCGTTTTATTCAGAGCCTCAGAAATGGGATCGCACCGTATGAAACTGTGACGATGTATTAAAAAACTTGAAATGTCCTCATTAAAACTCAATTTCGTTTAAGAACATGCAACTTAAAGGGATAGTTTACCCAAAAATGAAAATTCTGTCATTAATTACTCACCCTCATGTCGTTCTAAACCCGTAAGACCCCCGTTCATCACGCAAAGAAAACAAAAATAACGACTTTATTCAACAATTCGTCTCCTCCTTGTCACCCTGGTGCCATTTTGGAAAGTATCCACTGAACGTAAACAGCGTATGCTATTCTGTGTCAGCTGCATCACGCGGATACTTTTTCTACGTTGTTTACGCTTTGATTTGAATGAAAACAACGTATCCACGTAATGCAACTGACACAGAATAGCATACGCTGTTTGCATACAAAAAGTATTCTTGTAGCTTCGTAAACTTACGGTTGAACCCCTGATGTCACATGGATTATTTCATGGAGCTCTCAGAATTAAGCAAAAATATCTTAATTTGTGTTCCGAAGATGAACGGAGGTCTACATGAGGGTGAGTAATTAATGACAGAATTTTCATTTTTGGGTGAAATAACCCTTTAAGTTGATATTGAGCTATAAGAGTAAACACGTACTATAGACAAAGCCACCACATGTACACAAACAGATAGAAATAGCTGTGTTGCTCTCTTTCCTGTTACCTTTGTTTGTTTGGTTATTAATGTGCTTTTGTGCTCCTGTCCTCTGTTGCTAGGGTGGAATGAACTCCTGATCGCCTCTTTTTCGCATCGTTCCATAGCTGTGAAAGATGGGATATTATTAGCAACAGGCCTTCACGTCCACAGAAACAGCGCACATACTGCCGGTGTGGGAGCCATCTTTGACAGGTTAGTAAACATCCGAGGTTTCAGAGAAAAAGCCTGAACCTGTACAATTTCTGAAGAATGTCTTGGCTGTTCTTTTTACTATAATGAGAGTAAATGGGCAGAGGGACTGTCAATGTTACAAATGACCAAAAAAAAAAAAAATGTATATGGCTTATGCGCCTAAGTAAAAATCTGAAGTAAAAATCCCATTCATTTTCTTCCTAGGCGAACTGATTTTTAACGATAACTTATAAACTGTTAAAGACAGACTGTATGTGAGCTACGAGATTGTTAATCGATAACATATGCTTTTCTTGAAGCCATTAGCTGGTTTTATTTCAACATATCTTTTAAATAATCGTGTTTAACAGCAGAATTCCCATTGTAAAACTATACATTTCCCATGATTTTGTAGAGAAATCCAGCAATCAGAAAACTGAAACAAGCAAATCGTGCCAATGAGCTCTTTATCGGCTGCCCTCCTTCATGAAGCACTGCAAATTACATATTAGAGTCAATCTTCCTATGCATATTTTGCAATAAACATGAAATATTTTTATACACAGTTTTTGAAACAAAAGTTTTATATTTATCTGCTTTTTTAATTTGAACGTCATTCTCAATGCTTCATGGGATTGTATTTCTTTCCCACATTAAAGCCGTTAAGTACACAGTCTTGTACCTTTGTTCTTTTGTCAGCTTTTCAAAAAGTTTTTTCTTTGAATCAACGTTTGTTATGTTGTGATTTACCTCTTAGCTGGTTGGTTTGGTTCATGCCTTCTAACTCTTTAACAAAGACTTTTTAAAAATCCATATGGGAAAAATTAATGGGAAAAGTACCGTTGAAAAAGTGGGCGTTGTTGCACTCTATATTCCAAATCATCTGAAGCCGTATGATAGTTTTGTGTGAGGGACAGTCCAAAATTTAAGCCTATATTCACTAAAAATCTCAAATCAAATATGGTGCCATTAGACTGAATGTAACTTTCTGCCTTTTCCACACACAAAACTATCATAGGGCTTCATAAGACGCGGATTATAGCGTATGAGTGTTATTAACAAATTTTATGATACTTTTACTTCTTTGTCATTTTTGGAGTTTGATAACTCCAGTCCCCATTCACTTTAATAATATGGAAAAAGAGCAGCCACAACATTCTCCTAATCATCTCCTTTTGTGTTCCATGGAAAAGTAAAAAGTCATATAGGTTCGGAACGACATGAGGGTGAGTAAATGATGACCAAATTTTCATTTTGGGTGAACTATCCCTTTAAATTCAATGACAGCATTCAGTTTATGCAGGGTATGGTCTTGTGATCTTCTAAGAGACCCTTCAGGGTCCTCAGGAGTTTGATAACTCCAGTCCCCATTCACTTTAATAATATGGAAAAAGAGCAGCCACAACATTCTCCTAATCATCTCCTTTTGTGTTCCATGGAAAAGTAAAAAGTCATATAGGTTCGGAACGACATGAGGGTGAGTAAATGATGACCAAATTTTCATTTTGGGTGAACTATCCTTTTAAATTCAATGACAGCATTCAGTTTATGCAGGGTATGGTCTTGTCATCTTCTAAGAGACCCTTCAGGGTCCTCGTGGCACACCCTGTGGAAGATTTGTGACAGCCGTAGGTCATGCACACATTAATTTTTGAAAATAACCTCTATATTGATATTAGACGCTGCATCATGAAAGTGCCCTCCACGTCTTACTTTTGATTGATGCCATTTTTACATTAAGCCGTATGGCAGTTTTATGTAGCGCTGTGATAATGTTTCACTGGCAGCGTGAGATATTCTGGTGTCCTCACTAATGAAATATATGCTGCCCGGTCCATCTGCAGTAGAGATGAATGTGTCTTATAAGACATAATGACTTTGATTTTCATGGCGATATGAAAACTAAATATATAAGGTGGAGTGATGACTCACTGGGCCTGTTTAATAAGTTACAGAACATTTCCCAGCATTTTTAAGGGTACATTGGAGAAAATGAATTTGCGATTAATCAGGCTGGCTGTGCTGCCTGTGAGCGTAAAGATTTGTGTCCCTTTTTTTACAGAGTGCTGACAGAGCTTGTGTCAAAGATGAGAGACATGCAAATGGACAAGACTGAACTTGGTTGCCTGCGGGCCATTGTTCTGTTCAATCCAGGTACAGTAATGTATATTTAGACAAACACATGTGCACACAGCACTCTTATACAAGTATGTTTAAAATACCACTTCAGTTTGATCAACCTACCTTGCTATTTGTTTTGGCAAATTCCTAAAAAAAATGTGTTGGAATAAAGCCAGAAAGACTAAATGAGATTCCTGTGATTATAAACCTTAGTATAGCTACAGTAAGCTTATAGAAAGCAGTATATACTGGGTACTGCATACTTTCCAAAAAAAAAAAAAAAAAAAAGAAAAAAAACAAACGTTCAAAAAAATTTCACTTTGAATTGTAATGCAGAATAGCACAAAATATCAGATAATAACATTAAAATTATTGCCCTATTTCTGTCTGAGCTATTGAGCTGAGTTGGTGTTTTATTTACAGATATTTATGAAAATCAAAAAAAAAAAAAAAAAAAGTAAGTAATGCAACGTTGTGATAACATTGTTGTCATGTGACCTCTATGTTCATTCCCAAACAATAAAAATAATGAGTCTAGAAAGTTAAATTTAAAAAAAATATCCAATGCTGTGGACAAATATAGTATGGCCAGCATCCTCTCTTTAGATGTACAGTATGCGAAGAACATTCTTAGATAGCGATGCACTTTATTTTGGATTTCTGAAATAGCTTTATCTACAGCCTAAAGTTATTGATTCAGCCTTGAAGTTATTGATTAAACTAGCAAAGCCCATCAACCACAAGACATGTTTACACAGCACACAAATGTACACTACTGTTCAAAGGTTTGGGGGTCGATTTATTAATGCTTTTGAAAAGTCTTTTATGCTCACCAAGCATGCATTAAAGGCTGTAATATTGTAAATTGTCTATGCTGAATTTGTGCTCAAGAAACAATTCTTAATATATTAATGTTGAAAAAAGTAAACTATGATTAACAATTATATGATTTTCAGGGTTCTTGATATATCTACATTTTACTGACCCCAAACTTTTGAACTGTAGTGTAGCATCAAATAAAGTGGCCCAAAATGACACCTTAACATTACCTCGTTTGTTTGTTTGTTTGTTTGTTTATTTTGGTCATCAGACCAAGTGTGTATATAAGGATTATGAAACGTATTCATAAAGTGTGTAAATACCACTTTATCTTGAGTAGTTCACAATAAATTGTGGTTTTTGTGTTTTTGTCAACTCTTAGATTCAAAAGGACTGTCTAATCCATCAGAGGTGGAGGCTTTAAGGGAAAGAGTGTATGCATCTCTAGAGGCCTACTGTAAACACAAATACCCCGATCAGCCTGGGAGGTACACACACACACACATCTCTCACGTTTATGTATGCTTCATTTTTTCACTTGTATATAAAAATGAAAGTAATGGCACAAAACAAAAAGAATGCTACAGAGATTTAACAGAGGGACTGGATTCAGAGTGAACATGAGCTATTTTTCACTTTCATTTAAAGTCAGCAACATTTACGATCCATTTTCTTGCATATAAAGTCAATTTTACTTAAATACATTTTTAATTTAATCTCTTTTACACTACCGTTCAGAAGTGTTTGTTTTTTGAAAAAAAAGTGCTCATTAAAGCTGCATTTATTTGATCTAAATACAGAAAAAACAGTAATACTGTGAAATATTATTACAATTTAAGATAACTGAACATATTTTAACATATCATTTTTTCTTGTATTGCAAAGCTTAATTTTCAGCAGCCGTCAGTCTTCAGTGTTACATGATTCTTCAGAAATCATTCTTATATGTGGATTTGCTGCTCAAAAAAACATTTTATGGAAACTTTGATACCTTTTTCCAAATTCCTTTGTTAGCAGAAAGTTCAAAAGAACGTTTATTATTTGAAACAGAAATCTTTTGTAACATTATAAATGTGTTTACTGTCACTTTTGATCAATTTCATGCATCCTTGCTGAATAAAGTATTACTTTTTTAAAAACAAAAACAAAAACAAAAAACAACCTTACTGACCCCAAGCATTTTCAATGGTATGTTATTAAAAAAATTAAAATAAGAAACCAGCTGAAGTATTACACTGTACTCATCCAAACATTGACATCCACTGTTTCACGGACAGATTTGCCAAGCTGTTACTGCGTCTGCCTGCCCTGCGCTCCATCGGTCTGAAATGTCTTGAACATCTCTTCTTTTTCAAGTTAATCGGAGACACACCCATCGACACTTTCCTAATGGAAATGCTGGAAGCGCCACACCAAATGACATAAGGGAATGATTTATTTTCATCTCCGCCCCTCTGACAGAGGGTGCAACTCATGTACAAAACACTACAGGAGGCCACAGGACACATCTCTGATCTCACAGGAGAGGACCGAGTAATTCTACCTTGGCGTTTCATCAGAAACATTGTGCAATCCACAAAATACTGTGTAATAGTCCATTACGGAATACCATGCAGGATGGATTTAGTGAGTTTTTTTCCTGGTTTGCATGAATGTTTGGGAAGTCTCATGGAGATTTTGGTTTCTCATTTCTTCTGCCTTACAGAGGTCCACCTCTGCTTTCCTTTGAGTACACAGCCAAACCGCCTCATCTCTGAACTCACAATCATTTTGCTGTGAATATTCAGATTTCATGAAAGGAAACAAAATACCTCGGATGCACTTCTTCATGCAGCTGTCCTCAAAAAACACATCACTGTATCTGCCATTGGAAGTTTTTGCTCAAACTGTACAGTTAATAGAACCACAGTAACATTTTTCCCCCCAGGCACTTAGAAATTGCTTCTTTTAAGCGGTATTGTAATACATCAGGATTCTGAAAGTCCATCTTCATGAGGAAGAAACTGCATGCAGTTTGGCTTTAATTCCTTTTCTTTTTGGAAGATAAATGGGCCTATGAATAACAGAATGGTCTAAAAAGAATGAAAAGCAGGTGTACTCCTGGCTGAACTCACGCTGGATGAAAATACAACGATTCATTGTTAGAATTGTGTAAAAAATACTGAAGATTTTTCATGATGTTTTGCATCTAAAATTCAGCATAATGTGTGTGTATATATATATATATATATATCATCTGATAATTCCCAGCAAGTGGGTGTTTGTGATTTGAAAATATGCAAGGAGTTAAAGGAATCCAGATGATAGTCTGGCCTCAGGGAATCGCAAGGTTTGGGAAGTGCCATGCCTGTCCCCTATTGGAAAAGTTGTTACATTGCAGCTGTACTCATCTGCTATTACATGAATTTGTTACAGTTTTAAGAGTTGTAATGCTTGGCAAACATTGCAAAATAACATTTCTAAGCCTCAGGTTGATACAAATGCAATTTTTGGTTCTGTTGTGCAGTCTTATCTGTGTCATAAGGAAGAAACTGTAATAATGATAGATTTCATAACATTTGTATTACCGCATCACACCTCAATTGCAGATTGAGCCAATCTGAACCAGTGTTTTCATGATGACAATTACTTTTAATAACTATTATTTGAATTCGGGAGTTATGTGTAGCAACAGCAGTTGTCAATAGCAGACATAGTGCAAAAGACCTACTGATTTAGACAAAACATTCTGCCAAAAGATAATTCCAGGCCTCACAGTAACATAAGTATTCAGTCTAATATGCACATAAACAGCATATACTGTCAATGTGATTGTTATACAGAAACTGAAGTTCTAGTGGTCATGTTTTTATGCTTTGACCAGGGAGAAATTTGAATCGGCCATCAGAGAAGATCAGTAGACATTTGTTTGTTCTGTCATTGGACATCTTTGGCCGTTCATTACTCCAAAACCAGCATATTTAGAATGTGCATACAAGACCCCTTGCTGAGGTATAGACAAAACACAGACAATGTAAAGCGCTCTTGGGTTTGCACTGTGTTGGACTAGTCAAACAGGGTTTGATAGACCATCAAGAGCCAGGCACATCTTACCTGATATCAGCTACAATTCTGATGTGCCGCCATCAGACATCTGTAATATTTTCCTCTGAGACACCAATCCTTCACAGGACATGTCAGCAAAACACAAAAGAGATGCATTTTAATATAATTATCTATTTTTGTACAAAGTGTAATTTTTATTCTCTATATCATAATTTCGTCTGTTCTATATTGTACACATTGTTGGTGTAAATATTAATTTTTAAGTGGAGCCGTGCCCTCAAACCTGGACTGAGGGAAAGGTTTACATTGCAAAGGCTTCTCTGTTCCTCTGCCATTTGTTTTCATGGTACCCTCACCTGAGAGCTGAGGACGGCTCACTCATTCTTTTTTACAAGACAAATGGAGGGTGTATTGTGTATTATCCTATTATGTCTGTTCAAAGGACTATTAAATTTCAGATTGTAAAAAAAAAACAAAAAAAAACTGTTGTTGTCTTTAAGCAAACATCAAAACTATTTGATAGTTATGAATAAATGATATACAAGATATCACACACACACACACACACACACACACATATATGTATATATATGTATGTGTGTATATATATGTGTGTGTGTGTGTGTGTGTAAACCAAAACATTAAATAGGATTAACAGTTTCATACAGAAAAAAAAATGTTGCAATAACATTTATAGTTTCTACAGTACAGAAAATTTCATGGAAATTTACCTACTGCTCCAATGGTTCAAACCCAAAACCATGAAAATAAAACTGAAGACAAATTGATGCCTTCAAATTCAAAGCTTAAATAGTGGAAAATAATGTTAGAAACTATTTAAGGATCCTAAGGACATTATTAATTCACATATCAATATCAATGACTGCAAAATGCTTAAAGGGGTCATATGATGTTGCTAAAAAGAACATCATTTTGTGTATTTGGTGTAATGAAATGTGTTTATGCAGTTTAAGGTCAACAATACTACAGCGAGAATATAAGTTACGCCTTCTTTCTTTGCGTGAACGTTTGGGCGGCGTTATGCAAATCTTCTCACATCGTGACGTAGACATGTGGGGTGTGTTAGAACGAGCCGTTTTAGGTAGGCGTGGTTGACTTAACTTTTATAAGGAATATCTCTTTGGATTTGAGACTTTAGTCTTTGCAACTTTACAGATCTTCTTTATGCACCAAGAGCTTGTAACACTCCAAAGAGAAAGGAAAAATTGAAATCGCATCATATGACCCCTTTAACAAAAAGCAAAAAAGGCAAGCATTTAATGGCAAAAAAGTTTCATCAAGGGACCTGAAAATGCTTAACAAAAACATTTATGTATCCATTTTTGATATGTCTACCATAAGTGCATCCATCTTCACCCAACCAGATCAATAAAACAATAGAATTTATGATTTGATAGAAAACAATTGCTCCTCAGTAATAAATTAAAATGAACTGAAAACATTACAGTAGATTAAGGGGAGAACAGGCTTAAAGATGAGTGAGATTGTCACTATTCTGAGCAGACAGGACCTGTCCATCTATTAGATAATAACCCTGCACTAGGTGCTATCCTGGTAAAAGACAGACACTACTGGAAGTTGTCAGTCTGAAGTTTTCTACTAAAGCCTCTGAAAGTGCAGTGCTTTAATTTAACCATCACTTTTCCACAGTTTGATGGTCTTGCCGTTCTCCAGGGCTGCAGAGGCAATGATGTTCTCTGTAGGGTGACAAGCTGTCGAGATCACTACATCTAAGGACAAAAATACATCACATTTATGTTAACAAAATCAAAGAGGCTGCCATGTGTTTGAGTCTGGGAGGTGTAGAAAATGTCATATACCTGTGTGCCCCTGTAATTTCTGCACAATTTCTTTGGTCTGCAAGTTCCAGATATATACCATGTTGTCTTCAGAGCCTGTGACGATCCACTGAATGAGAGCAAGACAGATTCAGGTTATTCAGAAACTGGTCTATATAACTATGTATTAAAACAAATACTTTGACAGAGTGGAACAGAATCTCCCTCTCCTCCAGTCACAGAAAAATTGGCAAACACACAATACTTTTCATTTTTATGTCC